TATATGTTTGAATATAGTTGGCCTTCAACTGCTTTTTTATAATGGCATGTATGCTTTCTTTGGTTTCATTATTTGGGATAACAGGAATAATATACATGATCGTATCACACAAATTTGACTTGGCATTAAGAAATGTACACTTGAACGTAACTTATTAACAAAAAATCTAATTGCATTATATTATGGTTTTCAAAATTAGAAGAACTGGTTTTAAATTTTTTCCCATTATTTTATAGGGTAATAGCCAAAACTTTGTATTGAAATTTAAAACAGCAACCCCTGCCCCCAAACACACAGGAAGGAAAGGAAAATAGAAACACAATAGACCCTAGATATAAACCAGTCTGAAAACACCAGTGAATTCTAGGTATTGGAAACATTCAACCTCTTAACACAGTACTACGAACTCAGGAAGATAAGGCTAAGCAAACAGAATTCATCCACAGCAATTTTAAAAAGGCCAAGGTCTCAGGTACCAGCATTACTGGAGGGGCCATTTATAAAACAGGATGGTCTCTGATGATAATATACCTTGCAGTGTGATCCTATTTGCAAGTATATGCTAGCCATAACAGGAAAATTTATTTTCCTTTTTAATGTTAGTTCCCTTAGTACTTCATTTCAGTACACCATCCTGACACTGATAAAGTTGTTCTTCAGTTTGAAGAAGTGCCTGTTTGAGAAAGCAGACATTTAAAAAAAACAAAACAAAACAAAATAAAAAATAACAACTTCAATTTGTATTAGGGACTGATAAAACTTGTTTGTATTGACATCTTTACCTTAAAGAATTAGCCTAAGGTTCTAAGTATCATTTTAACAATTCATAATTTGTTAGAAGTTAATATAGTTTAAAATCTATTTTGATTTGAAAATAACACTTTATACAAACTTCCATTAAATTATACTAATTCCATTGTCTTTTGTTCCTCCAAATGTGTACACACACACACACACACACACACACACACACACACACACACACACACACTATTCATAAAACAGTTTCAGGTGGTATCACTGCTACTTTGAGAATCACTGATGTAGCTTTTATTTGAATATTTCCAGTGATTTGATGAGAAGAGAGCCAATTTTCATCATCAGAAATGTTCACATACCACATTTAATGTGGTCCAGAAACTTACACTTCTTAACTCCTCTTTTTTTGGAGACGGGATTTCACTACATTTTTCTGGCTAGCTTGGAATTTGCTACACACACCAAACTGGCTTCTAATTTACAGAGATCCAGTTGCCTCTAGCCCCTTGTGCTGGGATTAAAGACAAAAAAGGTTTAACTTACAACAATTACACAACAATTCTATTCCTTTTGAGTGGCAGTCATACAAATATTTGAAGACCTCTTCTCCTTAAACTTATCCTCTTAAAAAACAAATGCCCCCTATTCCTTCAACTACATCATGTTCCACATAGGCCTGTTTCTCTTACTGTGTAGATGTTCAGATTTAATCCAATGATGTACAATTTCCAGTCTAAACAGTAGCATGTATGTGGCTTATTAAGTCTCCTCTGTACAGTTTCTAATGATTAGTTATTATTAGAATGACTGGCACCTCTGTAGGGCTGACAGCACCACGTGATGAGGTGTTCTGTGATCCTCAATGATGAAATAGTAGTACAACGAAAGTTATTTGAATTAAACTTCTCTCTTTTATTCTGAGTTTATTAGAAATCATTGTTTCAATAAAATAAGAGTGATAGAAAAGGGCACTTTTTCAAGTCTTTCCTAGTGACCTGAAATACTCATGTGGAACAGTTCACTGTGACAGGCCTAGGGGTGCACACCTGAAGTCCCAACACCAGGGAGCTAGAGGACAGCCTTGGCTACATGCAAGGTCAACAATGCATCATTTCCACTCCTGATTAGTTTACAGCAGCAAAATAAACTCAATGTACTTCAGCAAATATAAGGATTTCAAGGTGCTTTGACAGGTATCTGCAGGAGTTCCTAATTTTCCCTACTTCGCACTTACCTTTGTGAGCAGCATTCAGTAAGAAATTCAGCCAGTGACGCTGCATCCAATTAAAAGAAGGCTCACATGGCAGAAACATATAACCACCTGTTGTATACTATCGCTAGACCATTAGCCAACTTTGAACTACAAAGGAATTATACCACCTAGGATAAGAATGTTAAATTATGGTCTGCAGGCCAATTCCAGCATTCCATCTTAGTATAAATTAAATTTTTATTGAACATATACATATGTTTGGTCACATGTTGTCTATGGCTGCTTTTGTATTACAATGGCAGATCAGAGACCACTGTGGCATATTAAGTCCAAAATAATTATCTGGTCCCTCACAGAAAACATTTCCCAACCCCTAATCGAGGGGGATGAACTACATGCTTCCAAAGCAAACTATGATAACTACAATCATGACCATCAGCTAGAGCTCAGGAAATAACATCCCTACTGGAATATACAAATATAGGCATTGGACTTCCACTGGTTCTTTCTTCTTTATATGGGCTTCTTATTTCCAGGGCAGAGTACTTACTTACCTGCTCAATTAGCTTTTCTCTAGAGTAACATTTCTTAAGGACTAACTAGTGGGGGAAAGGGAACTCCACAAATACTATTTTCTGTGTAACCTAAGGTAAATAAAAGGTTGCTGAAAATAATTCATAAGTTTTTAACAGAGGAACTGTATTATAGAACTACATGATAATTTCACATTTTATATCTGAAATACAAAACTTTTAAAGGCACTTAAAATAGAAAGGCTAAGTCCAATAATTTAGATGTAAAGTGAATTAATTCCTGCTTTCTCTGAAATAACAAGGTTTTTACTTTCATTTTCATATGCAGAACTGAAATAAAAATATCTAAATCAATCATATACCTATCTAAGATGCCATGCCAAAAATCTATTAAAAAATAAAGTCATAAAACCTGGCACTCTCAAACAAGAAGGTGCTTAAGAGGTCATTTGCACCCCGCACAGACAAGGAAGCTTCAGCATGACACGGAAAACACCACTTCAGAGAACTAACTAGTGACAGAGACAGAACTAGAATTGAACACAGTATCAGTTTAGAAATGTGTCTACTCTAAAAACAGGTAATTTAAAAAAAAAAACAAAAAAAAACCCTGCTCATTCTAAGAAAGGACAAAGTAATGTTGGAATATTCTAGTTTTAAAAGTGCAGTACAATCTAGGCACAGTACTGCATGTCTGCAATCCCAGCACTTGGGAGGCTGAGGAAGGAGGCTCAGACATGAGTTCTGAGGCCATCCTGGGCTATCCAGGTGAGTATGGTCTACACAGGCAAACCATGTCTCAAAGCAAATAAATGAACAAACAAAACTGTGCAGTATAACGCACTCTTAGGACTAGACATCTTTCTTATGTTGTTTCTCAAAAACCACTCTAACTTTATAGAAAGATAATAAATGATTAATTTGAAAGAAACTCAAACTTAACAAAGAAATAACCAATTACTTGTTTAACAATTTGTCAAAAGTTAGAAGAAAGGATGCTGATGAGGGACACTGTTGTTTTGGTACAATTATAAACAAAACTTGGCATGTTCTAAAGAGTGGGCCTAAGAAACTCTCATCATGTAACCCACCTAATTCATTGTCTTGACTGTACCCTGGAGAATGGGTCTAATAGAGTTCAGACTTTACACAGAAGGCCCTTCCCATTACAAAATTGCAGAAGATTAGAAACAGCCTAACGTTCAAAGAGAGAACTGATTATTTCCATACAGTGTTAACATATTAGTTAGCCATTTTTTTAAATTGAGTTTTCAAAGACATAGGTAGTAAGTACTTAGAATAATGGCAGAATGCAACCGCATGAGCACTAGAATTTCATTCTGTTATTGCGCACACACAAACACATACACACTCATAAACAACACAAGACTAAATGTAAATACAGAAAAACATTAACAGTGTATCTCTGGGTAGTGAGAAGTAGGTAATCTTTTTTTCTTCTGAATTTTCAAATTTTATACTCAGAAAACATTTTAAAAATTCACTATTGTCAATTCAGAAATTTTTATAATCTGTATTAAACAAAGGATAAATATTTATAGTACTCAAAAGCATATCTAAATAATGGAAAATAAATCACTGAAGTATAAGAGTATAATCCCTACATGTATAAGTAGATAATTTTGAATCTAAAAGGTAGTATTATTTTTCTCTCATTCTTGAGTATATAAAATTGATATTTAATAAATAAGAAATGCAAATTTCCAAAGAAAATTGGTGCAAGGCATCTAAAAATTGTGCTACTTGGGTATAACACTGAAGATATAAACACTCTCCAATGTGATATAGACACCCAGTGTTATGTTAAAATAGGTATAATGAAGAACATGCATGATGGCTTAATGAATTACACGTTTTTTTTTGTCAAAATGACTAGAATAAATCTATGATAAATTAATACAACACCATACCATTATTTTAGTTGGAAGAGCCGCACCAAAAATCATGCCCGCGCCCCCCCCAAAAAAAAATAAATTTGCAGGACTATTACAAGTCCAGTAGGCTTTGTTACTGTTATTGTCAATGAATTCTTGCTAAAAATTCAAGTAAAGAGTCAAATTGCTTAAAGCAGTAAAAATCACATAGTGGTGTGTGGTCTGCAATGACTTGAAACACACTACTAACACTCTTCAATGTTTCTTCATTTGCAGACTATCAACCACAGTATTTGAAGGAAAGGACTAAATCTATTTATTTTTAAAGCATCCTTGAATTTATATTCTACTACAATATAATAATGACATGAGGGTATGTCACACACAAAAAGGCAAATAACTAATTTTGAAAGTTAACTTTAAAACTGTATGACTATGATTTTTGTGATTTAAGAAAAATCACATGAATGTAAAAATAAAATATATTCCAACAGTCTTACATAGGAGCTGAGGCTTGCCATTTCAACAAAAATTCTGAGATGAATTAATAAAAATCAAATTTCCATGTATAGCACAAAGCAATAAGTTTAAATCAGACTATTTTGAGTTGTGTAGCCCTTTATTAGCAACTAAAATAGAAGGTATCTGTTGTACAACATGGGTAGTAATTGTCTATAACTGGAGATTTCTTATATTCTAATACAGATCACTTATAAATGCAAGTTCCTTTATTAAAAAGCTTCCACCCTTTTTTGTCTGTGTACAATTTGCAAAACTATTCTGAAAGCGGAATATATGTGCATGAGTCTGCAAAGAGTGCAAATTTCGGATATGCTAAATGCTTTACAAGTCATTTTCAAAAACTGTGTGCCAATTGGGCCTTTACAATGTCATCTTTTTTTAATCAAAATATTTTGATTCCAGCCTTCCTTCCACAGCCCCAAACTATAAAGCATTTTTAAATGAGTTGAAATTAAGGAGGACTACACCTACTAGAAAAGAAGAGAAGAGAGTTCTGTTAGTCTGAGGTTTCAGAATCCCCCCACACCAGAACCAACATTGTGGTAAAGGCTAGGCTGGACCCTGGACAGAGTATGAGTCTGTGCCGGTGGCGTCCCTGAGGGTCGGAGCTTCAGTGGACCGTGAGTGCTCCAGCTGCATAACTCACTGAACTATCTTGCCAGCTTCTACACTGGCTCGACTGGGCATAATTCAAAAAGGAAAAGCTCATATTCATTCCATTCTTCTGGAGCTCTGTGATAGCCTAAAAAAAAAAAAAAAAAAGAAAAAGAAAAAGTTGATTATGACGGACATCACATAAAAAAACGAACACTGTAAATGTTGGGAGCTTAACTTTGCACATTTGAGAAATCAACTTGTATTACTCTATCTTTAAATGTCTGCTGCCTCATACTCGAGAAAAATCTCATTATTTCATTTTCACAAAGAGTATATATATCCTAACCTAGCTTCTTAATAATTGGTGTATATTTTTTTCCGTTCTCTAGATCTCGGCCACCTCTGTCTTAATGTACTAAAGGCTTTTATTCATCTGACTTAAGACTGAATCTGAAATTTCTATTTAACTCACAGATATAGAAGTATGCTATAATTTTTACTTTAACTGTGTACTGGTTTATAATTTCTTTCATACAAAAAAACAAAACAACTCTATTGGATTCAATTCAGACTTTAGAAAATTAGTGCAGCATACGCCAATCTATGTTCCAGAAATTAATTTAGGTCCTTGACAGCCTTTCCCTTCATCAATCTGAACTCCTGTAACAAGATAAAAAGGCTTCCTAAAACCCCATCATCTACAAGGGTCAAATCATGTGACCATCAAGCTCCTTGTTTCAACTGTTGGTTGATCCTTTTCTAGACCTTGCCAAACCAATTCAATGAGACCACTGCAGACTCCTAAGAAGACATTTTCTTATTCTTCTTAAAGAGTGTCACATTTTCTTTCAAGAAAATTCATGTTTATTTATTAGGAAGTAATTTAGCCTTCTAAAATCCAACTAAACCAAAACTTCTTTCTTGAAATTCTTTTTTCGTTTTGTTTTGTTTATTTTTGAGACCAGGTCTAAACTATGTAGCTCTGGTTGTCCTAGAACTCACAATGTAGACCAGGCTGACCTCAAACTCACAAAGATCCATCCACCTGCCTCTGCCTCCCCAGTGCTGGGATTAAAGGCATGAGCAATTATGCCTGGCTTCTCCTGCACTTTTTAAATAAAGTTAAGTTTTATCATTATTGTTTAAGAGAAAAAGACACACACACAATCTATCTTTGCTTGTCTATGTATATGCAGCCACATGTCTGCACAGACACACAACCCCAAAAGTCAATCTTCTGAGAAAGAAAAACCTATCAGTGCTTGCGGAGTCAAGAAAAGATAAGGCAATCTTCTAAATAACTCTGTGTTAACAAATTATTGACCTGAATCCCAGTGATAAATTTATTCAAATAAACAAAATAATATAAACCTATAATTATGTTAAAAGTTACCAGGAAGAAACTGATGCTATGTACACAAAGCCAATGATGTTATCAATGTACTGAAATGTAACCTTTCAGATATTCTGAAATAAGACAGCAACAGATGTTAAAGGTCAAGGCTTCCTAAGGATACTCACATTTAATAACACCCCAATGGGATGTCTTCCACATATAGTATTATGGTATTTCTTCAAATAATTGCTAAAAGATACAGGATCTAATTGTTCTATAATACTCATACCCTAAAAAAAAGAAAAGAGAAAGAAAAGAAGACAAATTTATTATTTAATTACATTTTAAATTTACTTATAAATTTCTCAATTAAAAATAGACAAAATACATTAAACGATCCTTGGAAAATATCAAAATCATTCATAAAATGTAATCTCATAACAGTTAATCACTGGCAGAAGAAACTCCAGGTTTTTTTCTAAGTTTGGATACTTGCAAATCACCTTTACCAGTTGACATTTACCTCACAACACATTTCACAATATTATATTTTCCCTACATAAAGAATATAGTTACAAAAGCAAATCTGTGAAATTTTCACACACACAAAAAAAATCTGAAACTAAATTTGATTTAAAGCTGTTTAAAGCTGTAAGCTTAATTTGTAGCTGAGTAACATTTTAAACAGTCAGAGGTTATGTAGGTATCTGATAAAATACCATTTAAGAAAATACTTAACATAGTTTATTTCAACATTCCTAAGGCTGATGATGAGTTGAATGACAGACAGGTTGTTATAAGCCAGTTCTAAGAAGGAAAGCTTTTCACTATTTTAAACCAGTGTCTTTGAAGATAATAATAAAGTAATTTTAGAGTACTGCTAAACAAACCACCACAAACTGAACACTTGCTCATACTAAATTTTGCTGTCTCCAAAAGCATTAATATATTTTAATTGTTTGATATTTACTTGTGTGTATGCACACATGCACAGATAAGAAACTACAGCCATTCACTTGCCATGGCATGAGTTAGAGATCAGGGACAAGTTGTGGGAGTCAGTTCTCTCCTTCCACCACATGGGTTCTAGGGACTGAACTTGGGTGGGCAGGCTGGATAGTGAGCATCTTTACCCACTGAGTCATTTCATCAGTCCACAGAATATATTTTTAATCCACTAAAACAGAGCAACTTTGTTCATTGAAGCAGGCAATCTAACTAATTTGGACACTCAACAATATATTATTTTATTCATATCAACTCCATTTTATATTTGTATTTAATATACTAGATAAATGTCTGAGAGAAATGTAAGTGGTCTTAACTGACAAATTCTATGTGATTGCCAAAGTCTATTCATGTCTTAACAGTCTAAAAGCACAGAGAATAACAGGACAAACGACTCTAATGAAGTCATCTGGAAAATGGCAGCTGTTAATAATGACATAAAGCTTTACAGTGGAAATTTCAAAACCTTAACTATACAAGTTTCAAAATGCCTACATCTTCCATAATCATTATCCAATCTAGAATAAGACTTAAGAATACAAGTATAGAATCACTTTGCCTATATATTAATTAGCCAATCTATAACTAGTTTTTAAAGCTATATTGGTTTTCTCCTGACAAGCAGGGGACTTTTTCAGGGCAATAACAACATTTGGTACAAGCTTAAAGAAATATTAAAAGTTAAACTTAATATAGACAATAGGATGCAAAGAAACAGTGTAATTCTAAACCAGTAAGTAGTAATACTAAGATGGAATTATAACTCTCTTCCAGAAATATGGATAGTCAAGATATAACTTTCCTATGCATGAAAATGGGCATAAAAAGTTCCTAATCCTAGGTTCTGCCCCAATAATCATTGGCTGTATCATAGTATAAAAAGAATTACATTAATGATTCATCAAACATCGATGTAACTACAACTGGTATACACAGTATGAGAAGTTTAGTGCTCCTGAACAAAGGCTAGGACAGCTACCCATAAACAGAATCTACTTTAATAAACTCTAGGATGAAAAGTTCCAACACACATTTTAGTAATAAAATCTCCAAGCACATTTGGAACAAGTATCATACTTATACTGATATGAATTCTAAGAGAAGAAAATGAATTACATTTAAAGCAACGAATTCTAAGTAACTGGCCAAGAAACCCTTAAAAGAAGAGATAAAAACTACAAATGTAGAGAAGACACTACTAAACAGGAGCTCAAAATAAAGATTTAACTGGCTTACTCATAAAGATTAACTGGAAAATACAACATGAAAAAGTGGAAGTCAAGAGATAAAGTGTGTTAAAATTTTAATTCTTTAAGTGTATTAAGTGCCTATTAGATAGAAACTGATTCCATCCCGTTAAACCCTCTGACAAACACGATGATCTAATGGCATGTCTTTATAAAGAGAAGATAGGGGAATAGGAGCTTTTCTCATGAGTGAACCTCTCAACACAGAAAAGTTATGAGATACATAAATAAAAGCATAAGGATAAGATTATGAAATGGGACATCCACTGACTAGTACATAATAATGACATATATGTCACATATACTTGATGATAAGTGTAAAATTACTGGTACTAAAATTCAAAAAAAGACAAAAAATGCTAATTCAATGCTATTATCCAAACTCTAAGATGATGAAAAACAAAATGCTTCCCAAATATGCCTAGGTAACTTAACTATTCTCAACAACCCTAGAAGATATGATTAGTGAGTCTAAAGACCAGGCAACAGAAAGTACCCTAGGGCCCCATAAACTTAAAAACTTGATTATTTACATAAACCCCATATGCAATGAAATGATTCAACACTTATTTCAGCTTCAAGTTAGAAAGAGATATTGGAAACACCAAAGCCTATCTATCCCTCGAGTATGGAAATACTACCTAATTTAGCAGTTTTAGCTAGAACTCTGCAGAATACATGCCAAGTTCCTAACTTTGGGGGTATGTGTTGAATTATCATTCTGCTGACTCTCTAAGCAATGGAGAAGAACCTGTGATGTTACATCCCAAGGGTCAATCTAAAACTGAGCGGGCGATTCTCAAAGATCTGTAAATTCAGAACTCGGATAACTACCTTCCCAATTGTTTAAAACAAAATAAAATTATCTGCATTAAACAAAATAGCTATTGTTACAACACAGAAGTAAATCTTATTCAAATAGCAAACAAAAAGACTAACATATGTTTTATATGCATTTATAAATAAGAAGAACCATGCCTTTTTAATAATGACCACATAATTAATGAGCACATCATCAAGCATCAGAACTGTAATCCATTCATTTGAAGATGGATACACGTTAGGGAAAAGGAAATGTCTGAGTTTCCTAAAGAGAAATCAAGATAAAAATTTTAACAGTATAAATAATTCTATGCTCAAAACAAAACAACTCTTATCCTAAGGTAGCAGTGTTAAGAGTCAATGCATTAATAAGTGGCTACCTTACATAGAATGCTACCAAACCTAATAAAGTAGACATGGTATAAATTCAAGAGAAAGAAGCATGACTTAGTAAATTCTAACCATTTCTCCTTTCAAAATAGTAGGAAGAAGCTCTCTTTCCTTTCCGCTCCTTCCGTCTGTCTCTCCTCTCTCTCTCTCTCTCTCTCTCTCTCTCTCTCTCTCTCTCTCTCTTCCTTTCTCACCCCCAATAAAGCTCTAAAAAGGTTAAAAAAAATAGTAGGAAGAAAAGAAAGTAGCTAATATTCAAATTAAACAAAGTTATTAATAAAGTAATCAACTGAATGGCTGCGATGATATTTTCAGATTCTCCCTGCCAAATAATTTGCTGATGTCAGTAATGAAACCCCCTAAGTTAGCATAGTAAAAGGGTATACTCCTAAAAAGTAGCATAGTAAAAATACTACATACTACATATGGAAAACACATGTAAATATGGCTAATATTTCAAAAATCAAAAATTTACATGATCAGTGTCTTAAAATACATTCGATTTGTCAGTATAAACAATGAAGTTACAAAATATTTTTTTACCAAAAAAAGAAAGCCAATAAAATCATAAGACTTTCAAATTCTACATATTCTATACTATAGTTATTTTCTCAACTATAACACTAATAAGACATAATTTTCCTATAAACATTTACCTTTCTGTGTTTTTCACATTAGTTTCCCACACATTCAAGTTAGAGCTAAGAATATTTTCAGAAAGAACAGGTATGTTCTTTTGCATCTTAAAAATAGCTTACTTTCTAACATTTTAATAGCAATATTAAGATTTTTCCAACTAAAAATCAAACCCAAACTTGACTACATCAATAATTTTGTACAGATATAATTCAAACTCTTACAGATTTTTTAGCCTACTGATTTTGAAAACGGATAGCTCTTATAGGTTGAACATCCTTTAATCAATACTTGACAACAGAAATGTCTTGGATTTGTTTCCGGTAGATTTTTGAGTATTTGTATGCAAATAAAAAATCTTGGGGATGAGACCAAAGTCCTAAGCACAAAATTCAATAATACTTCACGTATGCTTTATCCATTTCATTGCCTTGGGTGACACCTTTAACTGTGACCTGTCACATGAAAGCAAGTGTGCACTTCTGACTTGTGGTGTCAAACAAGTAAAAAGTCTCAGATCACTGACACTCAACTTTCAGTATACTCAAAATTACTAACATTTTTATATGCAAAAAGCCACTTGAGTTTATTGAGAGCTAACCATTATTTTTTATTCATATAATCTAAGAATTAGCTTATAAATCAAATATGGTAATAAAGATAAGACATTTATGAGCCTCTTTAAAATTCTACATAGAAATATACTTCAACAAGTGCACCACAAAATCAATCCAAGTAAAACATTACTGCAAATACTAAGTTCAGACACACTAACATACAACAAATACCCTATTTATTTTGAAGTTCTATTCCATGTTTTTTTTTTTTTTTTTTTTGGTTTTTCGAGACAGGGTTTCTCTGTGTAGCTTTGCGCCTTTCCTGGGACTCACTCTGTAGCCCAGGCTGGCCTCGAACTCACAGAGATCCGCCTGCCTCTGCCTCCCAAGTGCTGGGATTAAAGGCGTGCGCCACCACCGCCCGGCCAATTCCATGTTTTTTTAAACAAAAGTCTCAAGTAAAGTTTTGGTAATCTGCCATCTAAAGGAAGGAAATCTGGGGAGGTCTTAGCAATCAGCCTGGGTTTACTGGTTCTCTATATACAGCCACTCATGTAATTAACAAAATGTTCCTTCCAGAGCTAAACAGGCAAAGTTCTAAGAAGCCTGCCCATGATCTATGTCAGCAGA